AGTATAAGTTCTCTGGCCCAATCAAAATAAGTTAGAAATCAATAACAAAAAGATAACCAGAAAAACCCTTTATGTTTGTAATTTAAAAATATCCTTCTAAGTAACTTTGAGTCTAGGAAGAAATTACAATGGAAATTAGAATGTATTTTGAACTGAAAAATAATGGAACTACTGTATGATAAAAAACCATGGGATGCTGTTAAAGCCAAGCTTAGAGGTAAAAATATAAATGCTTAAGTTAAAAATGAAGAAAGGGTTTTAAATTAGTCATCTAAGCATCATATCAAAGAGTTAGAAAAGAACAAATTCAACCCAAAGAAAGAGGAAAGAAAAAATAATTATGGGAGTGGTAATTAATGCTATTGAAAGTTTTAACAATTGATTCTCCTCTATATTGTACCAGGTGCTGTCTGTGCTCTCTTACCACCAGTGATGGGTCCTCCTTGCCAGGTGATCCATTTCCAAAACTGCATCTTAGTGCCTGCTTTCTCAGACCACCCCTGGTATCAACTGTCTCAGGTTTTGTTCTCTGGAAAGCTGACTGAGGCAGTTTAGTACACATGTGTGAAGGATGTTTATTAAGGTGATCCCCAAGGATCAACACCTGTGTAAGGGAGCGAACGGAAGTAGGAATGGACAGAGGGAGAAGTCAAAATGTGATATGGAGCCAACGACCACCTTGGCCAAACTCACAGGTAACTCTGGAGCTAGAATGGGCCACCTTTCATAGCTGTCCAGAGTTGGACTAAGGTGGTCTGGCCTTTATACTCCTATATCCAAGTCATTGTATGTAGACCACCCCAGGAAAGGGAGTGACGTTTGGTGAGGCAGTACTCTGTAACTGAGGCAGTCATTGATGGGGCTGACAGATGGAGGCTATCTGCCAATAGCACTCCCAGCAGTTGGGGTGAGAAGCCCTTCACTGAAGGACAAGCTGGGCAGTCACATTTTCTACTCCATTTAGGTTGCTGTGTTCCATTTTTTGAATACTTATTCTAAGAGGACACCAAAAAGTAAAAATGTATCAACTGCCTAATTTTGGTTATTCTAATCTCATGGTACAGAACAGCAGTGAGATGGATGGAGAATAAAAATAGATTCAATCCTTTGAAGTTTTAACTATATAATCCATGAGCCAAAATACATTTTATCCACACATACACTGAAACATACATACACACACACGTATTATGGTATAACTATTTTAATTTAATACAGCACTGAATTTCAATTTCTTAAAGACTTTTGGTCAAATACAGTTATTCATCACTTTAATATTCTACTGGTTTATTTTCTAAATGTCAACTAACATGTAGGAAAAATAGCTAAATTAAGATAAAATTATAATGCAATCAAATTAATATCAAGAATTCTTTTTAATTGCAACCAATGACACAAAACAATTCGTGTATAAATTTTTGAATGAGAAACTAATTTGCATGGAAACTTTCACCTAAAACACAATAACATTAAAAATAATACAATTAAAAAAGAATTATTTTGAAAAGTCCAGTGTTTTATAACTTTACCTCATAAATTTGAGTGCAACTATATACAATTTATATAGTTCCATTGTTTCAAAAGAACCAACTAGTAAAAGACACCGGTACATTTGGATTATAGCATATTTTAGGTGCCACTCCATATTCATATCATATATACCCCCTTTGCTGTCGAGTCGATTCCTACTCATAGCTACCCATATAAGACAGAGTAGAACTGCCCCATAGGGTTTCCAAGGCTGTAATTTTTACAAAAGTAGACTGTCACATTTTTCTCTTGCAGAACTGCTGGCTGACCTTCTGGTTAGCAGATGAGAGCTTAACCACTGTGCCACAACGGTTCCTTATATCACTTATAAACCAAAAAACCCGTTGCCGTGGCGTCCGACTCGTAGCAACCCTACAGAACAGAGTAGAACTACCCCATAGTGTTTCCAGGAGCTGCTGGTAGCTTCCAACAATCGACTTTTTGGTTAGCAGCCAAGCTCTTAAGCACTGTACCACCAAGGCTCCATATCACATATACATACTCCTAATATTAATTGAGGTTAACTATGTAACTTTAGAGGGTTTTTTTCTTTCCTTAGAGAACAAATATTTTATAAAGTTACCATTATAGAACATTTTAGTTTTATGAAAAACCTAAATCCTTGCATGAATAGGCCATGCCTATACTCTCAATTTTACATTCTGAAATAATTTCACAATTAAAGCAGACATTATATACAAACTAATTTTTAAAGGCTTAAAACTCACAAAAAACAAAAACAAAAAAAATCTTTATTAATGGATTTTTTCTTCATTCTAAACCTCTGAGGAAATCCTCTATGAAATATTTTGTCTCCGTGTTTTATTATAACATACATTTAAATTATTCATTTTACAGTCATGTCAAATATACAAAATCAGAAATTTGGAATTACAAATCACCTAGATAAAAATAATACAATACAGTTTCCAAAAAGATGCAGGCCATACATATTGAGCTTTCATTCTGAGGCCTTAAGCAAAGATTCAAAGTAGTTTCCACCCCCCATCCCCATCTCAAGACCTCAGGCTTGATAAACTTTTAATGGTCAGCCACTCATTTATGTCCTGGGCAGATTGCTAATTAAACATATTAGGTTATATATATATATTTGTGCAATTTGAACAAATGGGAAATTCTGCATCAACTGGTCAATTGGCAGAATACTGTAACTTTTTTGTTGCTGTTGTTCTTGTGTGACAAGGTAATTCAGAAATATACTAACTAAATAGATAAGAAATACATAAACAGCTATATGGCACTTTGTCTTTGTCTTTTAATTTTGTTTTTCACAGTGTTGACAACCTATAATGCTACCTAATTATTATTTATTCCTTTTCCAAAAATGTTGCTATAGTTTTTTGAGTAATTAAAAGGAGAGTTCTGGAAAGATCCAAAGACTTGTCTATAATAAGCTATCACTGTTTTGACTTCATATCACTTTAAATGGCTTTAAATTTTAATCCTTCTCCTTTTTTTAGATTCCTCTATGCAAAATTCAATTACTCTTTGTTGGAAAAATTTCCTCCACTTTAGGATCTTGGCAGTGATCCTCCTAGCAATGGTGATTGTTAAAAGAGAAGATCTTTTTATGTTGTTGAAATGTGTTTGATAGGCTGAGATTAAGAAGAATAAACTAGAGATAACTCACAGCACAAAGAAACCTCCTAGAGCAGAGGAATGAAGAAATCATTGAGACACTACATGCTGAAAGGAAACTTAAAGACCATATTGTTAAACCCCTGCACTCATTTACAGCTGAAGACCAAAATATCAAAGATGTGAAAAACAAGTGAAATTGTGCACTACAGATGAGAAAATAAGTACAATTAAGTCTGTGTATACCTTGCTTATTGAGTAATCCATCCCTAGTCCCTTTGCTCCATCTGCAATCTAGTCCGGGTAAACACATCATCGTGGTAAACACATCATCGTGGTAAACACATCATCAGTCAGAAGACTTGATGCAGTGAGAAAGAGACCAGATGTGTGAACATTGCACAGACTTGATTCAGATGGTGTGGTCCTTCCAACCCGATTGCACACTAAACTGTTAACTTGCTCATCTTTTTCTCCTTGCTTCTTTCTTGCTATGTGTACTTAATCGATTTAATAAAGAGTGTGAAATAAAGAGTAAGATTCAAACATTTTTAATTTGGTCTGTGAGCATTTCTGTGCTGTGCCCTCTGGGATAGCCTGCCTGGTAGTGTACTTAGAAGCTACCAGGGCATTAATTCTCATATGATACCAATAAGGACCCCCACTCATAATAAAAATGTGAGAGAGTACCACTTGGACAGCAACCTACAGGAAGTGGGGAAAAATAGTGGAGAAGCATTTCGGTTAGAGGAAAAATTAAGTGCAAAGGGGTTGAGGTTATTGAATACTTCATGTTCATTGATCCCTGGGAAGATTTATGTGTGTGATCAAATTTGTAAGAGTCTATAGGAGAAATTATTTTATAATTATATAATTATTCAAGTCTAGAAATTTTTCTTTTCTTTTTTTTTTGGTACTACACATCTGCTCTACTTTGTGTAGTTTCCCAGTAGGTGCCACCTTTATGATCTGGTGACAATATCAAAAAAGGTGAGCCTCTGAAATAGATGTTAAAGGGTATTAGGAAATGGATACTCATCTGCAGAAATCATACACTTTTGAGAGGGTTGATATAAATGATGAGATTCAGGTGTTTTTCATATCAAGTAATCTAAGATAAGTTGTAATCAAAATAATGTAATGTGCTTATACAATGTCATAACTGAAAGAGAGTAAACTGCATGGAATCTAGAAGTGAATAACAAAGAGCTAAGCTTTGTCAGTATGTTTCTGGGTGAAAAAAGAGAGTGCTCTGATTCCAGTGAGGAAAACGTACATTTCTCTAGGTTGGAGAAGGACCATTTTACTCAGTTGAATAGCTTTAAGAAATGTCCTTTAGGATCTGATTCTTTTATATATTTCTATGTTCCAATCTTTTCAGTTCTCAAATTGTTCTTTAGGGGGAAAAAAATGCAGAAAAAATTACTTTGGGCAAATGATGTCAATTATTTAAGGTACCAGGTGTAAATTCCAATGTAAAACAATAAAGTGACATCTTGGTTTGGATTAGCTTAAATCTATTTCCCCAAGGCTCATCAGCAATGGCATAAATAATCAAGATTTTTCTGCAACAGAGGGTTAGACCCTTGGCTCACCAAGGTGGAAATAACCCACAAGATCTAGCTTTGAGTTCTCTTTTTTCCCCCTTGTTTATGAATTTTAACTTTCTAAATAATGGAGTTATCTGGGACCTGATGTATGAACCTTGTATAAAGGGATCAAATTCTCTCTGCATGCTTCCTTCCACTCTGCCCACAGATTTTACTGCCATCCCCCATATTCTTCCAGATATCTGCTTCCCTGCTGACAAATTCAAGTCATTTAAGCAGTCTCTGACAGCCAAAAGTTTAAAATATATATACACATACCTCCTCTGCATGCAATTTTAATAAGCAATAGCCTCTGTAATCTTTATCTTGAGCCTGGAGAGTGTTTAGGTTTAATTCAATCTCTCTAAATCTTCTTCCAGCTTCCTCTCCTGAATTTTATCTGCAGATTCCCTCATTCTGTAAAATAAAAACAGCACTAGAATTAACTGCTGATTATCTGCATTAGTGAAGGGGATTACAGACACCTGTACTAAGACAAGTAGTGATGAAAAAACCAAATGTATGGTTAATTTACTGTCCTCAAACATTTTGAGAGTGAGTTGGTAGAAGGAGTGAATATCTATAAATGAAGAAGGTAAAATCTCTGTTCTAACAGAATTGAAGGAGGAATACACACACACACGCGCAAACACTAGATATATAAAGTACAAATACATACATAACACATACACAACTGCCAGAGAGCTATCACAAAGATGTGAGAAGCTGACTGAACATAAGGTTTACAAGAGGTGGAGGACCTGAGAGACAACAAAGCTCAGCCTGGAGAGGCCAGTCGGGGGCTTCAAAGAGTCATTGAGACTTGAGTAGGCTTTGGAGGACAAGTTAAGATTTAGATACATGGCAAAGGAGGGGGGAAGAGCATTCAATTAAATGGATTTCATGAAGTACAAATTCTATCAATTCTGTGCTGTATGCAGATTCAATCATACCAAATAATGTGACGAAATTATACAGAAATTAAGACTCATCCCAATCCTCCAAGTGCTCTTTGGGAATCAGGATTCTTGGTCTAGGGAACTTAGCCTATATATTCAAGAGCAGGAGTTTTTGGAGATTGGCTGCTGACTCTTAATTTTAGCCAAAACTTGAGCTTTCTGAATCTACAGGATTTTTAATGGCCTCTGTCAGTCTTTTTCTCCTCTTCCTCCCCTCTAAAAGAAATTAATATCTAGAGAAACACTATCAGGTTTGGGGTTCTCATAAGTTTTCCTTTATGACAAACTACATGATACTCGGAACTTATTTCATACAAGAATTTTTTCCCTCTCTATTATATTTTTCAGTATACTGTTTGACATATAAAAGGAATATATGTAACATACATTTAAGGTATAAAGCAAATCATATCAAACACACAGGACCCAACTTCTAACCCCGAAACACGGATGTTGCCAACAATTTTATTTACCTTGATGCTTTTCCCCCATCCCCTGGCCCTGCCTTTATCACCAAGGTAGCCATTGTCTTGATTTTTTAAATTTATTTATTAACCTGTCTCATAAAAAAATAACATTTTTATAATCACACATACACACTTCTATATATGCTTAAACAATAGACAGTTTGGTTTCACTTTTGACTTTTGATCTTCATAAAACGATATATGCACCTTGGGTGATTTAACATGTTTCTGAAATTCAACCATTGCAGTTAAATTACTTCTCTGCTGTATGATATTCCATTGTGTGAATATACCTCAAAAAATCTATTTGTTTTGGCCACAAACATGTGGTTGTTTCCAGTATTTTCCTGTTAAGAACAGCACTGCTCCATTCTTGCTTATCTCCTTTTGCATGTGTGCAGAATATTCTCTCATGTAAACACCTAGCAATGATATTGTTGGGTCACTGGAGCACCCTAACTGGATTAAGGATATCTTTAAAAACCTGCAGCAAATATAACTCAGTGTGGAGGCATTCCCGAGCTGATTCTTGGCAAAGGCCAAAATAGTTTTAAATATGATATTCTTCACAGTTTAAAATTGGGAGATGGATTTTGATTTTCTGAGTTAGGGGTGGGGTGGGGAAGTGGGAAACAGCCCTCCCCCTGCTCTCATTTTCTTTTGAAATTTCTTCCAGTTAATAGAGAAAGAGTAAATGCAATAGTAACAGTGAAAAAGAAAACATGGAGCTGAACGTTGCCAGGAAAGCGACATTTTAAGATCTTTCGTCACTGTTAATGCTTCGCCAAATAATGGAGAAAAACTTCCTGGAAGGTGGAAAATCTGTTTTAAAAAGGAGGTGGACAGTAGGAAGTAGAAACAAATTCCATCCCTAAAGAGGAATTTCACTCAGAAATGTGAGCAGGTAAGATGTCAGGGTTCCTCCCACCACCCGGAATCCTTAAGTGCGATCCCACATTCAGGTGACTCACAAAGAAACGGATGGACAACTTCTAACCGCCCGCGCAGCGTCTGCATTGGCCATCGACTCCAACTCTTCCCACGATTGATGACTTGCGAATATTTGAATCCGGTTCCAACCTCCTTTCCTTTTCTATCTTAAAATTTTGCAAATCTAAGCTCAGGAAGAAGGGAGAGCCAGCATCACCCCAAAAGTAAATGTTTAAAAGAAAACTTAAGGGAAGGTGACCTGTATGTTTACCTTACTATTTATTAAGCTGCTAGGCCGTGGCAAGTTCTTCAATGTAGTTGTTGTTCGGTGCCGTGGAGACACCATGTAGCAGAGTAGAACTGTATGAGTTTTCTAGCCTATTATCTTTACCGGAGGAAATCGCCAGGTCTTCCTCCGCAGACCCGCCGGGTGTGTTCGAACCAACCGTTCGGTTAGCAGCCGAGCACTTATCCGTTTACGCCACCAGGGCTACAATAGTAGCGTACAAATGAAAGCGAACAGACTGTCCAAGGAATTATTACCGAAGAACTTTTGCCAGGTTGACAACTTAATTGTAAGTAGACTGGTTGGAGAAAACGGGTTTTAAATTTTTCCGTACTGGCTTTGTGTGAGGCTAAACCTGATTCTTCTTGATATAAAGCTACAGTATTTTCCCGAGCATTGCTGCAGTGGGACAAAGTAAATTGCTCGATTGTAACAAATATAAACCACTTACCGACAGTTAAGAAAAGTGAGTGCCAGTTCTCTTCGGAAAAGTGGGTGGCTCTGAGAAGAGCCTTTGGGGTGTGGCTGGGGCCGGGCCGATTGCTCTGCAACAGTGGCTCATTTGGAGCTGGTGTACTTGGTAACAGCCTTGGTGCCCTCGGACACTGCGTGCTTGGCCAGCTCCCCGGGCAGCAGCAGGCGCACGGCCGTCTGGATCTCCCTGGACGTGATCGTCGAGCGCTTGTTGTAATGCGCCAGGCGAGACGCCTCACCCGCGATGCGCTCAAAGATATCGTTGACAAACGAGTTCATGATGCCCATGGCCTTGGACGAGATGCCAGTGTCAGGGTGGACCTGCTTCAGCACCTTGTACACGTACACGGAGTAGCTCTCCTTGCGGCTGCGCTTGCGCTTCTTGCCGTCCTTCTTCTGCGCCTTGGTCACCGCCTTCTTGGAGCCCTTCTTCGGGGCCGGGGCAGACTTGGCGGGGTCAGGCATGGTCGCGACTTGACTGCCAAGAAGATCAAGAGAAAATGGAGAAACGAGCGCAAGGCTGTAAATGTCGTATATATTCCTGAGTACGTCATATATTAGCTTTGTCCAATCAAAATAAGTGTATTTCAAAACCACAATTCCATTGGTTTAAGCGTGTCATTTTTAGCCAATGGCATAGCTTCATTTTCGCGCCCAGTAATGGCTATAAGTACCGCAGCTCTAGGTATTCTGCCTTAGTTTGCTCTGCCTAGTCGTTATTATAGTATCATGTCTGGACGCGGTAAGCAGGGCGGCAAGGCTCGCGCCAAGGCCAAGACGCGTTCTTCTCGGGCTGGACTCCAGTTCCCGGTGGGCCGAGTGCACCGCCTGCTCCGCAAGGGGAACTACTCCGAGCGGGTCGGGGCTGGCGCTCCGGTGTACCTGGCGGCGGTGCTGGAGTACCTGACGGCGGAGATCCTGGAGCTGGCGGGCAACGCGGCCCGCGACAACAAAAAGACGCGCATCATCCCGCGCCACCTGCAGCTGGCCATCCGCAACGACGAGGAGCTCAACAAACTACTGGGCAAAGTGACCATCGCGCAGGGTGGCGTCCTGCCCAACATCCAGGCCGTGTTGCTGCCCAAGAAGACCGAGAGCCACCACAAGGCCAAGGGCAAGTAAAAAGTCGGGATTGCTTTCCAGCAATTCAAACCTCTCATTCAAACCAAAGGCTCTTTTCAGAGCCACCCACTTTATCACTAACGTGAGCTGTACTACACAGTTTCATTTCATCCAACAGATAATAAAATTTACAATTATCTCGAAATACTTACAGGTTTACTACAGAGGAAGAGAAGCCAAAAGATAATTGAGGCTTGCTTAGGAATATATATTTGGATTAGGGAGTAATCTTTTTAAATGAGTTACCTACCCCAAGCATAAAATTTATCTTTTAATCTTTACCCAGAGCCCCTGAATTCTAGAAGTCGAATTTTTCATAACAATAGTCCTTTATCTCCCTGTGATCCCTCAACAGGACTCAATGTCCACCCTGCTAAATGGCAATACAATGGTATATCAGATAACATCCTTGTCTCCATGGGAGTTTCAAAGACTAGAAAATGAAGTAAAGGTGGTGTGGAATTACATTAGGAAAAACATGAGCATGTCACCTAACAATAAATGTTATAAAAGATGGACATTGTGAATCATCTTCTTTACCTTACTTACCAGGTTCGAGCCCAAGTCCTGTCAATGGTTTTTACTGCCCATTTCCCTCACCATAATCACTCTTTACACCCCCCTTCTCAGCTCAAAGTCACCCTAGCTACAGAGGGCCTTCAATTCCTCTCCACCTCATGTATCAGCTAATGACTACTTTTCCTCATGAAGACATTTTTCATCTCTTACTTGGTTTCACTATTTCTGGAATTTCTATTGCATTTCTAGTCCATTGGAGTCTATTTATTTTCTGAGTCTCTTAAAATATTTGTGTTATGTTTAAATCTCAACTGCAATCATACATGCAAATGGTTTTCCTTTGAATAAAGTAGTGACCACAGCAATCATGAACAGGTAAATATTACCTCTTTTTTTTGATTTTATGATCATTTTGATGACCATTTGATGTTGGATGACCCAAATCCTGATTTTAGTGAATCAAATTATTGTTTCCTCTTTGAAAAAGTCTTCTGTATTGTTTGCGTGTGTGAATTTTAAACAGGAGCCCTTGTGTCACAGTAGTTAAAGTGCTCCGCTGCTAATTGAAAGATCAGTGGTTCAAACCCTCTCAGAACTGGAAATTTCGAGTAAATGATACAGCTCCTAGGAAGGCCAATGAGTTCTTTCAAATTTTAATAATAAAACATGCAATTATTATTATTAATGTTGATGATGTAATTACTAACACCTGCTTAAAGGCATAGTTTCTACTGCCCCCAAGACCCACCACACTGTTAAAATCGTGCCATTATGTTTTTTGGTGTGATTTATGTAAAGACTACAATTAGTAAATCCATAATCAAAAAATTAACAAAGAATGTAAATTTCCATGTTTTAAATAAAATAGTCAAGTGTGATATATCATTGTTCAAAATGCCACACATTAGCTGATTTTTAAAAATTGACTATTACTCCAGTGTCATTGGATAAAGCACCTACTATTCTCCTTTATTGTATGCATGAGATAAACTGTATGCATAATCAGAAAAAAAAATTGTTTTTAAAAAGGAAGATAACAATACTTGCAAAAAAATCTTGGTAAAATTTAGTTTAAATTTCAATTAAAGCCTGAAGAACTGTTTAGAGTGCACACTGTCATTTTGTACTATAAGTCATCTTCATAACAGATAAAGTTCACTTTTAGTGGCTCTTATGGATTGAATTGTGTCCCCCCAAAATGTGCTGTAAATCCTCACCTCTATGCCTGTGTTTATAATCCCATTTGGGAATGGGTTGTCTTTATTATGTTAGTGAGACAGGAGTAGTGTAGGGTGTATCTTGAGTCAATCTTTTTTGAGATATAAAAAGATTAAACAAGCCAAGCCAGAGAAGCAGAGATGGGGGAAAATGGATGCCATGCCACATGAAGATCACCAAGGAGCCAAGGAATTAAAGCTGAAGAGATAAGGCCCTTCTTCAGAGACAGAAAGCCTTCCCCTTAAGCCCTGTTGCAGGGGAAAAAAATCACAAAGTTTAATAAAGCAAAAAGAAAGTTTTATTTGACATATATTCAAAAACGCTAAAGTGGGAAATGGACAACCATGCTGCCAGAGCCATGTCTGCCCAAGTCCAAGGAAATATCACAGAATAGGCAAAAGTGGGAAAAGGGACGAGCATGCTGCCACCGCCATGTCTGCTCTGAGTCTAAAGACCATTACAGAATCATCTAAGTATATATTAACATTACAAATGGACAAAACCATTGAAAGCTTAGCCTTTTCAGATTGGCTAGAAACTGTGATCCTACATTTTGAATTCTCTTTCTTAACAATCATTGGTACAGGTTTCAGTAACGACAGTCAGGAGGGTCTTCATTGGTCCAACAAATTTCTATTCACTAAATGCTAATAGAAAAAGATTAGAGTAGGAAGTCTCTTGTGTTGTGTTTGATTGCCCTTACGTGAAAGTTTCTCTAAAAGATATTTTCCAAGATTATTTTAGCTATTGTCTTGATACCTCAGGGCCCAGTTGATGTGTCGTTGTGAGTCCTTGTGAGCCCAGCTCCAGCTGGGTCACATTCTCTATGCTCAATGAGAGGGAATAATAACTCCAATATTATTTCCTAAATCAGCCAGCACCCTGAATTCGGACTTCTAAACTCCTAGACTGTGAGAAAATAAAGTTTTGTTCGTTAAAGCCACCCACTCGTGATATTTGTGTTATAGCAGAACGAGATAACTAAGTCAGTGGCCAAAGATTTATAGAAGAATTATTTAAACTTTTTCTCTCTTTTCCATTAATTTCTCTCTCCACACTCTCCAAACAAACATAAAGGCACCTTGCAGCATCTTCCCATACTAGAGTTCTTGTGCATTTTATCCATTAGTTTACCAACTCCCTCAGGGTGGAAACTGGGTTTTATTTACAGTATATTTTCATCCCCCTAGACCCTAGATCAATGACAAGCCCACAGAATGTAGTCAATAAATTAAGTTAATTTCATAATAATAAAAATCTTCACAAAGGAAAATAGTGATATAAAATAAAAGCAAAAACATGTTGAAAACTAAACATGATTGAGATAGCATGGAAGCCTATAGGTTTAAAGTAAAATGTGGAGGATATTAAACAAATTCAAAAAAGGTAAACTAGAGGAGCGGGCCTTCAGATCAGAGATCAGAGGGGCAAAGATCAGCTGGAAAGAACTAAATTGCGAAAATCCGCTGATAGACCCAACTGTCTGATCTGCAACCCATCATGTGTATGCCACAGGACTGGGTAGCATTTAGTTCCATTGTGCATGGAGGGCCCACTGAATGGCACCTAATAACATCACTTAGATATAGTAAATCATCTGGGGAAAGGTTGATCTGGATGTCCTTATTAAACTGGTCTACATCCTGCTTCCTCTTCCAACCTTTCAATCTCACATTTAAATAAAATACTACTGAGGTTTATTGAATATTAATTATCTAGTCAAATACTGAAAAGGCTTAATTGAGTGATTTGCGGAACTGGTGCTTTGGAGGGATGTAGGAACTCTGGCCCAGGGTAGAAACTAGGAGCTGAGATTAAAGGACCCCCAGCTCACATACAAATTTCTGAGTCTCTCCCAAAAAAGGCCTTTCTAACTGCTTTTCCCCTAAGGTTGCTTTTTGTACTTTTATAAATTTCTCCTCCTTCAGACTTTTATCTATGCTTATTGTTGCAACCGTTTATATGAAAATATTAGCTAAATTAGTATGGTGGTAGTGTCTGAGGGTGGGGTTTTGGCAAAGAGAGAGCAGCAATGAGCCCATTAATGTGATTATTCTCCACATATATTTAGCTACATATTACGTTTCCCCCTTTATTGTTGTTCTTAGTTGTCATCAAGTTGATTCTGACTCATGGAGACACCATGTGTATCAGAGTAGAACTGCTCCATAAGGTTTACAAGTCTGTGACCTTTTGGAAGCAGATTGCCAGGCCTGTATTCCAAGGCACCTCTGAGTGTGTTTGACCCTCCAACCTTACAGCTACTAGTCCAGTGCTTAACCTTTTACATGGAACTCCCTATTTAGCTGTTAAAATGCCAATTAAAAGGTGTTTCAAAACATATAATTCCTGGTAAAGATTTACATACACATATTAGATATTTGCACAGAAGAATAATAGATGATAGATGTTTATTTTGTTTCAGGCTAATAAACATTAAAAATATATTTTAATCAAAGGAAAATTGTAAAAAAAAACTATAAACACGTTTAAAATAAATGTTGACTCAGTGTTAATAATAAGTAATAACACGTACTAAAAAGTAAATATTAATTATAATAAAAACTTATTATGAAGTAGGCTCTGTGGTAAGCATTTTGCTTAAATTATGTCCATTAATTCTTACAGTAACCCTATGAGATAAGTACTTGTTACTATCCCATTCCCACTTTATAGGTGAGGAGCAAAGATGAGCAAGTCAGCTGAAGTTAGTAAAGAAGATTTAATTTAAAAACAGGTTTTTCTAACACCAAAGTTTAAGCTCTTAACCAATCTCTAAAGCAAACCACTGGAGAATGAGGGGTTACAGTAGAATAGTTATAGGAGTTTTAAAATTTTCATTAATGTTAGAACTTCACAGTATAACCTTGATTTGTAAAAAAAAAATTACATTTATGCAAATAAATTATTTCCAATGATATATATATCCATATTATATTGTTAAATTGCATTATCTTTAGATTGTGAGACTAGATGGTCCCCTCCTAATGTGAATTTTTAAAAGTGTTCAAACATGAACGATTGCCTTTGTAGTAAAAATAAACAAATAAACCTATATTAAATATTGTATAAGAGCCACAAATAGTTGGGTTGTTATGAATCAAAAAAGAGATTTATTTTCAAATTTCATAAAATGATTCTACGGTTCCCCAGAAATCTTGATGAAACTAGCTTAAGCTTTAGAAAGAAAAATGAGAGACCTGCAGTACGAAACTGTGAAACCTCTAATTCTGCTACAATTTATAACGTTGATACAATAAAAAAAAGAACAGAATTTTCAGTAATGTTTCCAAGTATAGTGAACAAATAAATTTAAGTTAAATATGGACAAGATGAACTATTAAAAATGCAAAAGCTAGCTACTTAATGAATTGCTAGGGAATTAGTTAAAACTGTACTGAGAATTCAAAAGAAGGAATGAGATATTAAAAATCACTTTTTTGAAAATTCTTTGGATACGGTAAATTGATTAAAATATAATCAATGTTACAAAACCTCTTATACAGCACTATATAAATTTTCTTAGGAAATATTTATATGTGCGTTTATTTGTTCACCAAAATATTGGCAGTAGTTATCCATGTGTGGTAGGATAACAGGTTATTCACTTGCTTGTACTGTTTTGAATTTTCCACAGTATTAATGTTTTCCACAATATTAATGCTTTTGCATTCAAAAACAAAATTTTAAACTTAACACAAAACCACAATAACAAAATAGTTACCATATTACAAAACACAGGACTAGAGAACAAGGTCTTTTCCCCGCCCCCTTAGAGCTCCCTCCTCCACCCGGGCGGGATTTTCCGCCTCTTTTCTTGAGGTTCTCAGTTCGGTCCGACAACCGATGTATAAAGGCTGCCGCGGCCAGAGTCAGCAGAGTTCTGTCTTATCTCTAATCATGTCTGGTCGGGGTAAGGGCGGGAAGGGTCTTGGCAAAGGTGGTGCCAAGCGCCACCGTAAGGTGCTCCGCGATAATATCCAGGGCATCACCAAGCCCGCTATCCGGCGTCTGGCTCGTCGTGGCGGCGTCAAGCGTATCTCTGGTCTCATCTACGAGGAGACCCGCGGGGTACTCAAGGTCTTTCTGGAAAACGTTATCCGCGACGCTGTCACCTACACCGAGCACGCCAAGCGCAAGACAGTCACGGCCATGGACGTAGTCTACGCGCTCAAGCGCCAGGGGCGCACCCTCTACGGCTTCGGCGGCTGAATGTGCTCTTATATAACAACAAAAAGGCCCTTTTCAGGGCCCCCATCGTCTCACCTAAAGAGCTGTGATGCTGATTAGCCAGTTCTTTACTGCCATTTTTGCGCTTGGGCGGTTTGTGTAATCAACGGCGCATGCGTTTCTCACAGAAACGATAACGGCTGACTTTCCCAATCAAGGGCCTTCCACATTTTACAGAATAAACCGTAATATCTAGAAAAGACGAAGGTAAACGTTTAACTGCTACGTACTAAAAGGTCCCCCAAAGAAAACGCTGCGGTATACAGAATCTGCGTGCGATCTTGGCCTTGGTACAGAACCCAGCTTTTCGTTTGGCTGTGCGTAATTGCTAAGAATTCTGGGAGATTTTCTTGTAATTATCTGTGTGCGAGGTTTTGAGCTGCAATGTGAGGACTATTGTGCCTTAATCGTATTCTATTATGGGAGAAAACGTGTAGTGGATAATCACGAAGTGTTAAGTGCCTATTAAATATAGAAGAATGAAAGGAATGGGAATTGCATAAGGTACCTGAGACCTCTCATTCAGGCGCATTCAGAATGTATTAGGCCTTGTCCCTTCAAGGTTTCCCCTCTGATAGATCGTGTCATTTGCTCCTTGTTCTACTTAGCACACCATTATTTGGTTCCGTCGAGTCGGTTCCGACTCAGCGAGTCTATAGGACAGGGTAGAATTGCCCGATAGGGTTTCCAAGTGGCGCCTAGGTGGATTTGAACTGCCGACCTTTTGTTTAGCAGCCGAGCTCTTAACCACTACGCTACCAAGGCTACAGCTCACCCACCGGAGAAAGACCCAATGATTTTGCCTCTGTGCTGGTAGAATACTTAGAGGCGGATCGCCAGGTCTTTGTCCCGTGAAGCGGTTGATGGGTTCAAACCAATGACCTTTCTTCGGTTAACAGCCGAGCACTTAACCAAAGCGCCAGCAAGGCTCCTGTAGAGGATGTAAAGGTAAATATTATGATAGACCAATAGTTATTGCAACAACCTCCCCCTCCTGCCCAAAACACCAAAATAAAAAAACTGTTTACGGTCCTGAAGACACTCAAATTAGAATAATCATACTAGATCAAAGTTCCAGCAAATGAATAAAGAATTTTGTCAAAACCTAGGAGAAACTTATGAATTAACAGGAGAAAAATTGTAAAAGATTCGAGCAGAGCCACTCCTCCAGTATTTAAAAATGGCTAAGAGTATTTCATCTACAGCCTACTACTCATATCCCAAATTCTTGAAGCTCTAAAGATGTCTGAGGAAATTCATAGACACAGAAAATATAATCTTTCCTGTAAGAAAGGAAAAAAATTTACACTGATTGGAGCCAGAGAACTCTTTGCACTTTAAAGTATCTTTAGACTCAGCTGATAGCCAGCAGAATCCCTAGGGATGCCCAGGTGAAAACCTGCTGGAGCCAATTGAACTGCTTTGCTGAGGAGTGCCCCATATGCTGTTTAAACCAAGGAACTCCTTTGCTTGGTTTCCAGGGTGAATCTCATGTGGCAATCTCCTAAACTATTAACTAAAAGTTCTATTTCTATAAGAGTGAGGGTGGGGGAAAGGGAAAACAATTTAGCTTTTACAGTAACTCTTTTCTTATCTATCTGGGCCCGGCTGCCTCTCAGTTATTGGTTTATTCATTTTTATTTTTCCCTTTCTTACACTTTCTCTTTTTAGAAGATTGACTGCTTACTAAATGTCACTTTGTAACAAATCTAACATTAAAAAGGAGATAAAAGAAACAACCCACAAAGTTATTACACACTTCAAAAAAAGAAGTTGAAAAGTTGATGAGAAAAATACCAAAACAGCAAAACAGCAGAAAAGTTTTGGGCACCATATGCCTAAACCAAAAAAAAAAAAAAAAAGACAAACATTGTTCTATATCTTGTTTGGAGAATACATAGAACTCCCTCATTTCACAAAGAGTTAACCTTATGAAGGTCTGTTACTATTGTAGCTTTGCATTGATTTCTTATATAATTTTTGACAAGCCTGTCATTTCTAAAAGAAGAAACACAGGTAAGTATTCTGTGCATAATTTAAATTGCTATTTTTATAGCTAAAATTTTAATAATTTCTTATCTTTAGAAACCTATGACTTATGTTCTTATCCCGATGTAATGAAACGTTTGAAATATTACCATTTCCAAATCAAGGCCCCAGACATTAAATAATAAAACCATTAAGGCATTATTTATATCTAAACTATCTGGAATTTCCCAAGTGGCCACTAGGCCACACAAAATATTTGTTCTCTCATTTTATGAGAAGGTATACTTTATATTTTTAATTAGCTGTATACAGTTATGAGAGCTGTCCTGTTATATATTGTACAATATGAAAAAAAGGGGCAAATCAATAAAGGAAACTACATACCTAAATTAATTAGGCAAAGTGTTATTAATATAAATGTTTAACAATTGCTAAATTGTATAGCATATGTTCATATAAAAAACTAATACAAAAACTGCCAGCAAACTGACTTTGTTCCTGTGTATAAATGCCCTTGTCATTTGGTGGCAAAGGCTATCAGAAGGCCCTGGAGGTTTATCAATGTCCTCAATATTCATAGTATCATATGTAAATATATGATTCTATCCTTCTCCATAATGATAATGTTGATTAATATAATAAATCAACCAGGCATATCCTGTCTTATCATCAACAGATGGGTCTTGCTTTTCTCTACATTTATCTAAATTTCCCTGCTACAAAATACAGATCTAAAGAAGCATCAAAAGTAGTTTAATAAAGGACTGATTTAAGATTTCCAGGAAATCACAGAAGTAGATTGCATAACCCACGACCAACAAAGCAAGAAATAATCACTTAGGACTGAATGAATTGACTTTATTGTGGCTGTTCCTTGGAAACCCTATCGGGCAGCTCTATTCTGTCTTATAGGGTCACGATGAGTCGGAATCAACTCAACAGCAGTGGGTCTTTGGTTTAAAGTTCCTTTACTAATGCCTTGGTAACATACTTTTAGTTGCTGTCTTTTTCCAACCAACTCCATGAAATTTAGAAAAATATTCTATAAAAGATCTGATATATTGTTAGGAAAACTTAAGAATAATAATTCTGTAGATAATATATGATATATATTGATTGGCCCTGTCTACAAAACACTGAGTGATTGAATATTACTGAAAAAATTTTTTAACTCATTACTTTTCATAGGAATGCAGTAATTAACATAACTCATTTGTCTTCCTAAAACAAGCAAGTCTTTATCTCTTTTTGCAACAATATAATTAGAACAGAACATAAAATTTTAAATACTTTATTATAAAATACCTGTCCAAGGGTCTGATTATATTTGATAAAATCCTTGGTCTTGGTTTCCTGACATTTTCTCAGAATAAAAGTGTTGACTTGTCCAAAAATTGAAGTTGCTATTCATCATATTTGTAATATATACTTCCAGACTGACATGTTTTAATGTGCTGACAGTCGGTCTTAGTTTTTGGACATCTCAGAGAACACAACTTAATGACTTTAATAGGTGGACATTTACAGAAACAATCTTTCAATAAGGATGCACAAAAGGTATGTGAACAGGTATGAGGTCAATACCAAAAGAGGAACTTTGGCATTGGGAAGATAATTAGAAAAGACAAAAGCAAGATACAATGCTTGAAGCTACACATCACCTCAAAGTTTGGAGAAGCCAACTGCAATTAATTCACACCATTTGACTTTTGAGAAGGCTGGAATAATTACTTAAAGATACTATTTCATATTGCTTGCTATAAATAATAATGGTGATTTAGAGTTTTAAACTTATCTGAAAGATGTATTAGAGTAAAAGAACTGGAAATTCTAGGGATGAACTGAAATATGCATTTCTTGTACTATTTGAGAATATTCAATTTTGCTATAGGAAAAAGCAAATGTAATGGATGAAACTCATGTGTTAAGTATAGATAAGTAGTTAGTAAGTAGATCATGTATGTGTTAAATATATAGAGAAAGGGATAAAGGACCAAGAGATATGTAACACTCATGAGGCATTGGTTATACATGAGACACCTGGACATTAAATATGAATAAGACATATGTGAGACACATATGAAGCACTAAATATACCCATTGGAGCCCTGGTGGCGCAGTGGTTAAGCACTACAGCTGCTAACGAAAAGGTCGACAGTTCAAATCCACCAGCCACTCCTTGGAAACCCTATGGGGCAGTTCTCTGTCCTATACGGTCACTATAAGTTGGAATTGACTCGATGGCAATGGGTTTCTTTTTGTTTTGGTGGACCAGGTATCAATGGGAAGTGCTAATGAGTCATATTTGAGGTATTTGAGGGTACTCAATTCCAGAGATTATGATTTAATTGGTCTGGGGAAGAACCAGTTATTGACATTTAAAACAAACTTTCACCAGTGATTCTTACTTCCTGTCACCTCAGAGAATCTCTGGTCCCTGTGATGTCTGGGTTTCTTTTTTGCCAGTTAAATTCCGTGCTACACAGAAAAAAGAGATGAGATTAATAGAAAGGTAGTGAGAACATGTACTTCGGGACGGACAAAAAACGTAGCAAACCCACTCAGTAATGCTGTAGGCATCCTCAGAAGAGTACAGAAGGCTTCTCCTGCTTTCACTTACCACCCAGAATGTGAGTACAAAAGCAACAAAGCACGTAACATTGTAGGAATAATCAAGAAAATCTCTCCATTTGACAAAGTTTGAAAACATGTATTAATGACACTAGGGTATTTCTCATTGCTGCATCATAGGCACAGGGAAGACTAGGCCTCTTTTAAATCCAGTCACACAATGGCTGACTTTTGAGGACTGGAATGTGGTTGTTAGAAAAGTTTGTTTTCATCTAGGGGTCACAAAGTCAGATGCAATTAGGGGCCAGGCATAAATGAGTAATAATAAGTGACTCATATTGTACTTACTGTGTATTAGGCACTGTTCTAAGCACTCTTCATTTATCAACTCATCTGACCAAGCTAGGCACTATTATCATCATCATTATACAAACGTAGAAAATTGAGGCCCAGAGAGGATATGTAACTTAACTCAAGTTCACAAAACTAGGAAATGTTTGGGATAGGTTTGATCTCAAGCCATTGACTTCTAATGACTGTGTAAACATTTCACCATGTTGCATCGCTTGGGCAGTAAAGTTGTAAAAACAGGTAACTTACATCTTAATCTTTCTTTTTTTTTTTCATTCTAAACAGAAAGATTATTCTTTGTGTCCAAAAAAAACTATGTGAGCCCACTTAGCAGTGCCAGGTCTAACAATTTTCCGGAGGCAAAAAAATATACATTATTCATTTAAAATATCTCATTTTAAAATAATTGACAAAAGGTCAGATTAAAAAAAGACCTGTGTAAATAAAACACATCTGAAGTTCATAAGTGGGGCCATAAGTTTTCTACTTTTGCTGTATATCAATCAATATTATCATAACTGCTCCTCCTGAATTTTTATTTGGTATCATCAATGACACATTCATCATTTTCAATGACGTCATAAAATAGCTAATCCTAGTGAGGGCTGATTATGAACTTCATAATAAAAAAAAAGTCTTGTTCAATAGATTATATTAATGTAGTTAATTTAAATAAGGAAAGCTCTCTCAAACCCTCTTGTGCTAAGATCTAGGCCAGGAATAGTCTCTTAAGTGTTTCTCCAAGCACGTGGGAGAATATGCTGTTAAAAATAATCAAAACTCAAAGAAATTGAAACATAAGGTTTATTCTGAGTAGCTATTCTATATGAATGGAGGGAGACCATTCTGATTCCCAAAAAGCAAATGACTGGAAGTAGGCTGGTTACAATGAGGCTTATAAAAAGAAAGGAGAAGAACAGTAGATCAACCATTGTCTAATCATAATGTGATTGACTGAAACCTGCCCTCCCCCCTTTTACTGAGATCAAATGATATCTGGTCGCTGGCCCTCCACCCACTTGTAGCCAAGACATCTTTTGACATTTAAATTAAGTCAGCCTTTCTTCAAACAGGAAAGAAAATATTAGCAACTTTGGGTGAAAAAAAGCCACTGGCAGGATTTGGTCAGTAATTTTTATGGTTAATATTTGGTTTCGTGGATAACAAAAAACCTTAAAATCAAAGTACGATGTTTGCTGTTAATTTTTCTCTTCAACAACACCAGTCAGTCACCCTTTTGTGATTTGATAAGATATAGGTTGTATTTAGGAGGACCTTCGCAAAAACTGAACTTTACCAGAAGCCTTAAAAAAAAAAAAAAGACATTCTCCTCCCCTCTCCCGCACTACTTTGTGTGTTCCTGGAATGGCTTAAATTGCAAACAGACCAAATTGACTTAATGATCTCCTGTTTTAATTGGAGTCCCTGGGTGGTGCAAATAGTTAAAGCTATGGCTAACAGTAAGGGTTGGAGGTTCAGTCCAGCCAGAGGTGACTCAGAAGGAAGGCCTGGTGACCTACTTATGAAAAATCAACCATTGAAAACCCTATAGTGCACAGCAGGAGTGGACTGAATGGTACCTGGCTTTTTTATTTTGTTTTAATTAGCTTTAAAATAGGTTCTTCATTGTCTCCTGGACCTTTCTCTCCTTCAATTTTTACGACCTCAGGTGTCTTAACCCTTATCTCCCTGGAGCTAGGTGGCCTTATAAGAAAACATTCCAAGCATACTGGCCATAACTGCAACAACTTCAGTCAATTACTCATCCTTTCTGGGACTCAATCTCCTCAACTGCTTTTAAAAAATTTACAGGCCTTTGTTTCAGTGGAGTCTAACCCAGATTTGTGTTTAGGTTTGCTTATAGCACACGATTCCTTTCCCTTTTACCCCCTTCCTTTCTCTTTTCATGTTACTTTTTGTATGTCATTTTCTTGCCTCTATTAACATTCTCCAGTGCAATTTTTTGACACCTTTAAGGAAATAAAAATAAACAATTTTACAAGATATAACTTTTCCCTAGTTTTGGCCCTTCCATTTTTTTTCAAATAACACTGTCAAGGTTTATTTTTTGCCAGCAGCACAGTATGCTATTGGAGTGAAAACGTTCCCAACTATGATCAGACACTAAACTGTAAAAACCTACGTGGTTAAGGAATGTGTGTTGCATCCACAATACTGGCATCGAAAGATTTTTTCCCACATTCTCCACGCTTGAACATAAATCCCTAGTAACTTGCAAACTGTGAAGCCTAGCAACGTAATTCTGTTACCTAATGGACGGCTAGCGAGCCGAACTGGCGACGTGAACCATACCCTAGTGTCACTGGGTACGCATGTGCCACTAAGCAGGCGCAAACTGAGCAAGGTCATAGACCAAAGCACGTCTACAGGAAGCAAAGCATTCGTGTTGAAGACAGCATTCATGTTAAATAATTGCCCTGAAAATGTTAATGGAGTCAATTTATAAACATTACCAAATCTGCATCACGGCTCCTCAGCAGAGTACGGGGGGGCCCTGAAAAGGGCCTTTTGTTGTGAACGAAGACAAAAGCGCACTCAGCCGCCAAAGCCATACAGGGTCCGCCCCTGGCGCTTGAGCGCGTAGACCACGTCCATAGCCGTGACCGTCTTGCGCTTGGCGTGCTCGGTATAGGTGACGGCGTCACGGATCACGTTCTCCAGGAAGACCTTGAGCACCCCACGAGTCTCCTCATAGATGAGGCCAGAGATGCGCTTAACGCCGCCACGCCGAGCCAGACGCCGGATAGCGGGCTTGGTGATTCCCTGGATATTGTCGCGGAGCACCTTACGGTGGCGCTTGGCGCCGCCTTTACCAAGACCTTTGCCACCCTTACCCCGGCCAGACATTTCGAGGCAGAGGCGACTGAACAACGCCTTGTGACAGCTCCAGCTGAGGCAGAACCTTTATACGTCGGTAGGCGGACCGAACTGAGAACCTCAAGAAAGGAGGCGGGAAGTCCCGCCTCGGTGGGGGAGGGAAACCTAAGAGACGGAGAAGAGGCCTTGTTTTCTTGTCCTGTGTTTTGTAGCATAGTAACTAAAATTGTTTTTGAAGTCAAAAGTAAATCCTTAATATTGTAGGAAATTCAAAATAGTACAAACAAGAAAATTATAACCCGTTAACCCACTACAAGCGATAACTATTGCTGATATTTTGGTGAACAAATAAATGCACACATTAATTTTTTACAAGAAAATGTATACAGTGCTGTATATATCGTTTTGTAAGTTTACAGTGATTATATTTTAATCAATTTCCCTTCTAAGAACTTTTCAAAAAAGTTATTTTCGGTGTCTGCTAATTGTTCCTTCTTGCAAATTCTCCTAATACCAGTTCTCTAGCAATTCATAGCCAGTCAGAATTTTAAAAGTCATGCTTTCACTGCTGATGAAGTACTGCCTTTAACACTATACTTGGAACCATTACTGATGTAACCTAACCTCGACCCTGCAACTTTTGATAAGACTCCACTATGTTGCCTAAAAGTAACTTTCCAGGAACTTGAGTAACTTCAAGTTGTTTTTCGGAGACCAACAACCGAATCAACTAAAACCAGATTTAGCGGTCTCCGACCTTCGCGCATGCTCAATCCAGCCGGAACCAATATGCTACACTCCGTAACAGAATACCTAGTCCTCGGACACTTCAACTTTGAGACACTTCCGCCAGCGGTTACGCAGAAGAATGAAAACTGCGTAAGTCTGTATAGAGGTTTTGGTGGTGTAGGGGTTAAGAGCTACGGCTGCTAACCAAAAAAATTGGCAGTTCAAATTCCCCAGGCGCTCCATGGAAACTCTGTGGGGCAGTTCTAGTCTGTCCCACTGGGTCGCTGTGAGTGGATTTGACGGTGACGAGTTTTCTGTCTTGGCCCTTTAAATAAAAGCGACCAGAGCTTTAGCCAATCGCCAGTGACACCCAGCTTCTAAGAATATGTGTAACTCCTCATTCTCGAACCCCGTGAAAGCGTAACGCCTGCCCCCTTCTGGGAGCCAGATCTGAGGAACCTTCTTCCTGGCTCCCTGCTTAGTGCTTTGCAATAAAAATACTTTCTCTTAAAGACCGGTGTCCAGTAATTGGAACTCTGTGGGCACCCACGTTTGGTTCGGTAGCACTGAAATTCTATTGTTTCAAATTTTAATCGATTTCTCTTGTCAAAAGGAATCTGTGTTCACAGTTAAAAATTTAGAAAACTTACATTAGAAAAATGATAAAGTGATTTTTTTGTCTGCTTAATATTCCATCATAAGGACTTTCTATAATAAATTTAACAATAATGTATTTTCTAGTTTTTTTCCTATTATAAAAGATACCTGTACATTAATTTAATTTAATTATCTCCTGAGAATAGCCGTCTAGAGTTGAAATGCTTTGTCCTAGAGAATGCTGATTTTAAGATATTTGATTGCTATTACGTTTTCCTCGAAAGTTTTATCAAGTTCACTTGTGCCAGCAATAATTGTTATGTATATAACTTTACCATCACTAGGCATTACCATTTTTTTTCAATTTACTTGTTAAATTCAGGATTTACTTCTGGTGTAGATGATTGAGTTTTTTTGTTTTTAGTTAAATCAACTGGATTTATTGTACCACCTTAATATAAATTAACTTCTTTATTGTACCGGGAAACATTACTGCTGTTTCCACTGAAAGCTGTTTTAAACATTGTAACTTTAAAACTTGTTTCAAGTTTGTTTTTTTGTTTAATAAAATGAGTCGGAATCGACTCCAGGGCAAGGGGTTGGTTTTGGGATTTTGGTCATAATTGCATTGCTTTTCTTAACTAGTTGGGGCAGAAAAATTAACATCCTTAAAAGATTGAGTTCTTCAGCTCTGTTTACTGTCTGTTTATCTTTTCAGAAGAGGTGAAAGATGAATTTTGCTGGCGATATATTTACCAAAGTCATAGTCTGACTTTTTTTTCTTCACTTGCTTTTCCATGTTCATAATTAATTTTTTTTCTCTCCATGCTCTTGCGGAGCTCTGTGTATCAGTATTAAAGTAACTATTTTTGTGTCCTGATCCTGTATTAGAATTATTGATAAAAACCTTGGTGCATCTATCTATGAATACAAATCTTCATTTCTGGCCCACATAAGTTTTTTAGTTCCCAGCAAATCTATATCTAAACATATATGTGCATATAAAATTCATATAATATGCATGCATAATATATAATACATTTTCTACTAAAGACAATTCATGTACATGGTTAAAATTTTTTTGAAATTAGGAAAAATGTAAAAATACTTGTAATTTCATAGTCCAAAGATCACACTATTAACTTTATGATATTTATCTATTGAAATATTTGTTTTTTCATATATGTAGTAATTTTTACATGTATGGGGATATATTGTGAAATTATTTTAACTGTAAAGAAGTTATAATAAATCCTGGTACCATTTAAAATATAGTTTCTTGTTTTGCAGTGTTTCTGTATAAATATATGCTTTGGAAAGTAGTTAAGATCTCTGTCTCTGCAGTCAAACAAGCCTGGGTTTAAATTGTGTCTTCCATGTAGTCACTTTTGCTCTCTATGTTTTAGTTTCTTCATCTGTATAATGATGGTGAGGACAACAATACTTCATAGGAATACTCTAAGAATTAATGGAGATAATTGAGCAAAATAGTTAGACTAGCTTGTAGTAAGATCTTCCTAGTAATGTAAGAGCTAAAATCTACATTTGTTGTTACTGTTGTTAGGTGCCATCAAGTCAGTCACCAGACTCGTAGCGACCCAATAGGACAGAGTAGAACTACCCCATAGGGTTTCCAAGGAGCAGCTGGTCTGGATTTGAACTGCTGATCTTTTGGTTAGCATTCAAGCTCTTAACCACTACACCACCAGGGCTCCAAAATTTACGTTTGGTATTTGTTTATTAATATTTTGATATTCAATTATCTTTTTATATTTTAATTCATTCATTCTATTTGCATTTATTAGTACAATAAAGTACTTATAACAATAAATTTTATTGTTTAAATTTCTTATATAGTTCTGTAATCTTTACCTAGAATTGTATGTTTTGAAAAAACTTCTTAACAATATCCTAATAGCTAAAATATAATAGGATATAATCACATTAAGATCCTCTTTGAGGCTTCTTCTCCTGTTTCCCCACCTTCAAACATTACCACTTAATACATCAATAGAGTATTTTTATATATACAGTTAAATCAAATTACAGTAAACTTAGATAAAAGACATCAGAGGACAGTTATAAACCCAAGACCTGGCCAAGACCTGATTTGCCTGGAAGCCTCAAAGAAAGTTTTCTTTTTAATCTCTAGCCAAAGAACCTCCTTCTCCCCCCAGGAGGATCCTGAGTAATCACGGCATTTGCCTAGTATGCCTGCCTTTCTCCAAAACATTGTTGCGTGCCGTCAAGTCTTCAGAACATAAAAAAACCCAATGCCATTGCCGATGAGTCAATTCCGACTCATAGCAATCCTATAAACAGACCAATTAGACCCTCTAAAACATGGAACCCAAAAATTAGTTGAAATATTGCTCTTTTATTATCCCACAAGAAAGTCAAGTCCATTAACCATATCTAGTAGAAATTAATATTTCTGAGACACTTCACAGTAGTTGGTCTAGTTTAAAAGTACCCAGCCTCCACATTCCTCTCTACCCTCCCGCCCCCAAGCCCAAAGACCTCTATGCAATCTCAGCCTCATTTAACTTCCAACTTTATGTTTTCAGTTTTATGTCACTATTTTATTTTTTCATCATAAGTATTTATGTTACTATTACATTGACACATTTTATTGACCTTATTTTGTAGGGTCACCATTTATCCAGGCTCTGTGGGGGCAAAAAGATAAATAAAATCCAGTCTTCATTCTTCATGACTTGAGGGAAAAAAGTCAGTCATCAACACCTCTAATATCAGCTGACACAGTTCCATGCTATAATGATAGGGCAGAGTTCAAGTGTATGGAGAGAGGAAAATTAAAGTATGGGCAAAGCAGCTCAAGAAAGAAAAGTTTAAATAATGCTTCAGTAAGTATTCTGTGATCAATATACATAAATTTCACCTCTTCTAAAATGATTGTATATACATTTAGAAAGAATATAGATCTAAAGATTCCCTTGTGTTTGTCAAATAAATCTAGACTTTGATAAGGAGAATCTGTATTCAGAAAGAAAAGGGGGAAAGGAAAAGGAACTATTGTAATAAAGGGGCTACTCTAGGGTCACTTCCAAAGCCCTGGTAGCACAGTGGTTAAAAGCTTGGCTGCTAACCAAAAAGTCAGCAGTTCAAATCTAACAGCCAGCTGCTCCTTGGAAACCCGATGAGGCAGTTCTACCCTGTCCTACAGGGTCACTATGAAATTGACTCAATGGCAATGGATTATTAATATTACAATAGGGATAGCACTCTGGGGATAAGATCTGCAACCATCACAAAGAGTTAGGGGGAAAGTATTGTCTATTAGAGTTTAAGAGTAAACAAGGCTAGAAACAATGCAGGTGTAGGCAAGTGGGATGAAAGGGTGACATCGTCAGATAGTAAATCTGACTGTTTTAAACTGAGGTCAGCCTATTCACCAGGTGGGGCCCTTAAAAGAGGATAGTATGTTGGCTCAGGCTAAGGGTGAACCAACATTCAGGGAGTTGGGGGAAGGAGAGAAATTTAACTGAAGTTTGATTAACAAGCACTTTATTTCTGATTAAGGAGCCCTGGTGATGCAGTGGTTAAAAGCTTGGCTTTTAACCAAAACGTTAGCAGTTTGAACCACTAGCATCTCCCTGGGGGAAAAAACGTGGCAGATGTGCCATGGAAACTCTGTGGGGCAGTTCTGTCCTTTAGGGTTGCTATGAGTCGGAATCGACTGGACAGCAATGGATTTGGTTTGGAATGTCGGGCCTCCTCACAGGTAAACAAGAGGGCATCCTTGAGTCTTACCTACGTTATGTGGGAAGGGTGGTCATTCGTAGTAAAGTAATCCATTTTCCTGAACACAAAGGTGGGGGTGGGCAGTTCTTTAACCATGGATTTTTCCCATTATCACAGAGTTCAGGTAAAATTTAACATTAACGTGTTCCATTTACAATTAAAAATAGCAAACAAATTTACCTAGTTTTCTTTAAAGTATTTTCTCTCCTGTTTTAAAACTCAGAAGAGCCTTAATATTTCCTCCAATGTTTTAGAAAACACATACTCATTTATCAAGAATAATAATAGATGCCTTATCTAATAAGATTTATCAATAGCTAATCAATAAATCAAAGTGAAAGGGGGAAATTATTTTTAATCTTACTTTGAACATTTTATTCTTACTTAAAACATTATGTATATTCCTTGCTAATTTTTATGATAGTTTTTTGAATGTGTCCTGAATTGGAACTTTTTGCATAAACTACACCCCAAAAATAAAACCCATTGCCATCGAGTCAATTCCAACTCATAGCAACCCTATAGGACACAGCAGAACTGCCCCCATAGTTTCCAAGGCTGTAATCCTTACAGAAGCAGATTGCCACATCTTTCTCCCTTGGAGCAGCTGGTTGGTTCAAACTGCTAACCTTTCTGTTAGCAGCTGCGTGCTTTAACCACTGCACCATACACTGTTACAAAATGACTTTGGGACTTCTTTAAATAAGCAGGACAATCTAAAGACATTTGCAAAACAATCTGAGTGCAAATTCCTTTTGAATTCTGCATTGACCCCACCTTCTCCTGATAGATAAGCTATTCAAGGTATACAAATCCCCTCGGGGTCTTTTTTTCTCCTCTTATTCTTCCAGATTTATATTCAATCATTCCAGCCTCCAGCAATTCTAAAGGATGCCCCTGAGCCTACTCTGTGCTTAGACCTCTCACCCTTGCATGCGCCACAGCACAGGATCCTAACAAATTAGGCAGACACCATTTTGATCTTTTTCCAGTTTCTCTTTTGGAGTCCTTATTGTCTTAATTGTTTCTTAGAAAGCTGTGAATTTTCTCATTGCAGGATCATTTCTTAACACATACTAGGCACTCAGGACCCATTTGCTGAATAAATGTGAAAGGGTAAAGAAGGATGGATGTATTGAAGAAACAAATCTTGAAGTTTGTCTTAAGAACAAGAAAACTAATATGTACACCCATGTTCATTGCAGCATTGTTCACAATAGCAAAAAGATGGAAACAACCTAGGTGCCCATCAACAGATAAATGGATAAACAAACTATTGTACAATGGAATACTATGCAACGATGAAGAACAATGATGAGTCTGCGAAGCATTTCAGAACATGGATGAATCTGGAGGGCATTATGCTGAGTGAAATAAGTCAATCACAAAAGGACAAATATTATATGAGACCACACTAAAAACTCATGGAAAGGTTTACACACAAAAAGAAACAATCTTTGATGGTTACGAGAGAGGAGAGGGGTAGAGAGGGAAAAACACTAACTAGACAATAGATAAGTGGTAACGATGGTGAAGGGTAAGACAGTACACAGTACCGGGGAAGCCAGCACAACTTGTCCAAGGCAAGGTCATCGAAGCTCCACAGACACATCCAAACTCACTGAGAGGACAAATTACTGGTCTGAGGGCTGTGAGGACCATGGTCTCAGGAAACATCTAGCTCAATCGGCATAACATAGTTTATAAAGAAAATGTTCTACATTCTGCTTTGGTGAGTAGCGTCTGAGGTCTTAAAAGCTTGTGAGTGGCCATCTAAGATACTCCACTGGTCTCACCCTGTTTGGAGCAAGGGAGAATGAAGAAAACCAAAGACATAAGGGAAAGATTAGTCCACAGGACTAATGGACCACAAGTACCACAGCCTCTACCAGACTAAGTCCAGCACAACTAGATGGTGCCTGGCTACCACCACTGACTGCTCTAACAGGGATCACAATAGAGGGTTCTGGACAGAGCTTGAGAAAAATGTAGAATAAAAAACTCACCAAAAAAAACAACAGACTTTCTGGTCTGACAGAGACTGGAGAAACCCTGAGAGTATGGCCCCTGGACACTCTTATAGCTCAGTAGTGAAACCACTTTTGAGGTTCACCCTTCAGTCAAAGATTAGACAGGCCCATTAAAAAAAAAAAAAAAAAAGACTAAATGGGCACCCCAGCCCACGGGCAAGGACCAGAAGGCAGGAGGGGACAGAAAAGCTGGCAATTGGGAACCCAAGTTCAAGAAGGGGAGAGTGTCAATATGTCGTGAGGTTGCCAACCAATGTCACAAAACAATATCTGTATTAATTGTTTAATGAGAAACTTCATTTGCTCTGTAAACTTTCATCTGAAGTACAATAAAATAAATAAATAAAAACAAAGAAATAATCAAATATTGTTAAAAAACAAAAACTAGCCACACTTGTAGTCTCCTGTTAACCCACTTTCCACCTCTTTACTCTTGTTGAGCAAAGATATAATGCTAGTCCTTCCCCGGATTTCCTACAGCTAGTGGTCCAGCACAGCCCCCAAACCAGACATGCGTTTAATTTTGACTTTCTCTATTATCAGAGGCACCAGGTTTTCCTGCTCACGTGGAAAAGAAAAAGCATGTACCTCTCTGTTGTGAACATATTAAAAGGAGCTTAAGAGAGGAAGGAAAATTTTATATTTTCCAACCCTTCACACTGAGCCTGACAAAAAACTGTTTTCTTTTTCAAACCACGTTTGTTACACCACGACTAAGAACCATTTAATCCTTTTAGCAATGCTTGTACTTTTACAGTAATTGTAATCCACTGGACAGCAACTGGTGTCATTTTACTGTTGGGGAGCGGGGCACAAGGTGTGGTAATTTGCGTGGAGAGGTGAGAAACTACAAGACAGAACCTAATGTAGTCAGCTGCTTCGTGACTCCAAATCACCAAGTCTTCAATCAGCATTATTACCTTAGAAGTTACCTTCTGGCTGTAAAGTTTGAGAGTCTAAGAGATGCAGAGGGTTGTGAGTCTGCTGCAGCTTAGGGAGCAGGAAGACACAGAGAAACCTGAGCGAAGATTCCACTGCCTTCACCAACTGAGATCTGCAAATTCTGTATCCCGCTCAAGCTCTCTTTGCTGTAATTAGTCTATAATTAGCATATGCCTCTCGATAATTGGATAGAGAACCCCACTAACTAACTATTGAGACTTTCTGGCTACTGGTAGTACAGTACCGCTCGAGACTCGCTTATCACACAGCCCAGAGGCCAGGACGTTATTGCATTATTAGGTCTTAACGAACCACACGAAATTTGATACTAAAGAGCAATCGCAGCTTAGAAATACAAAAATATACACGATCTACAAGTCCAAATAGGTATCAAAGAACGATAAAACACTTCACGCAAGATGTTGTATTTACACATTCAAGAAAGCAAAACCAAACCCGTTGCAGTAGTTGATTTTGACTCACAGCGACCCCATACGACAGAGTAGAATTGACTCATAGGATTTCCAAGGCTATAATCTTTACGGAATTAGATCGCCACGCCTTGGGTTGGAACCGCAGACCTTTTTTTTTTTTTTTAATTGTACTTTAGATGAAGGTTTACAGAAAAAATAGTTCCTCATTAAAGTTAGTACACATACTGTTTTATAACAATAGTTAACAACCCCGCGACATGTCAACACCGTCCCTTCTCAACCTTTGCTTCGGTATTACCAGATTTCCCGTGCCCTCCTGCCTTCTAGTCCTTGTCCCGGGACTGTTGTGCCCCATTAGTCTCGTTTTCTTTTATGGAGCTGTGAACCGCAGACCTTTTGGTTAGCAGCGGAGCGCTTAACCACTGCACAACCAGAGCTCCTTTAAGAAAGCGTAACACAATAGCAAAGTGGTTAACAGCGAACAAGCTCTTTCTTCGAAAGCGTGGATGGCTCTTAAAAGAGCCTTTGGGGTAGGGAGTAAAGACGCTTACTTAGCACGTTTACTTGGAGCTGGTGTACTTGGTGACGGCCTTGGTGCCCTCGGAGACGGCGTGCTTGGCCAGCTCTCCCGGCAGCAGCAGGCGCACGGCGGTCTGGATCTCTCTGGACGAGATCGTCGAGCGCTTGTTGTAATGCGCCAGGCGAGACGCCTCGCTCGCGATGCGCTCGAAGATGTCATTAACGAAGGAGTTCATGATGCCCATGGCCTTGGACGAGATGCCGGTGTCGGGGTGGACCTGCTTCAGCACCTTGTACACGTACACGGAGTAGCTCTCCTTGCGGCTGCGCTTGCGCTTCTTGCCGTCCTTCTTTTGGGCTTTTGTAACCGCCTTCTTAGAGCCCTTCTTAGGAGCCGGCGCCGACTTAGCTGGTTCAGGCATGGTGGAGGAGAAGAACGTAGCAGCTAAGAATAGAAATTACTGGTACTATTTCTCCTCTTTATTTACAGGCTCTTATGCAAATAAGGGGAGTAAAATTCCTCTAGCTATTGGTGGGTTTCCCCAGATGATGTAATATGCCAGTTTTGCTCAATCAAATTTCGCATCCAGTAAAATCGCGTTTCCATTGGTCTAAATGAAAACAACATATTAACCAATGGCACGGCGTTCTTTTCGCGCCCAGACGTGGCTATAAAGAGCGCTTTCGGCACTTCAGCTCACAGTTATCCCTGAGAGAGGCTGACACTTAATCATGTCTGGACGTGGCAAGCAGGGCGGCAAGGCTCGCGCCAAGGCTAAGACTCGCTCTTCCCGCGCTGGGCTCCAGTTCCCCGTGGGTCGTGTCCACCGTCTGCTTCGCAAGGGGAACTATGCCGAGCGGGTCGGGGCCGGCGCGCCGGTGTACCTGGCGGCGGTGCTGGAGTACCTGACAGCCGAGATCCTGGAGCTGGCTGGTAACGCGGCCCGCGACAATAAGAAGACGCGTATCATCCCGCGCCACCTGCAGCTGGCCATCCGCAACGACGAGGAGCTCAACAAGCTGCTGGGTAAAGTGACCATCGCGCAAGGCGGTGTCCTGCCCAACATCCAGGCCGTGTTGCTGCCCAAGAAGACCGAGAGCCACCACAAGGCCAAGTAAGGAACAAAGTTTGGAAACTCTTAAAACAAAGGCTCTTTTCAGAGCCACTTCTATAGTCAAAAAAGGTGACACTATCTATTGCATATTCAACTACTTGTATCTTCAGTGTTGGCACTTAAATATTTGAGTTAACTCCTACCATGCCTACACCTTTGGCCCGTTTCCATATGTTGTATATCCTTGGCAAGGATTCTCAGCTAAGACATTCAAGAAACTAAACTAGCAGAAGTATACAGCTGCTTGGAAATGAGGGTTACCTAGGCCCACATAAATGGAAATATGTTGTAGGTACATAAAGTGACAAATCTTGCTATCTAAAAGTTCGAAGGGTCTTGGGCACAGTCGAGTAGTGGGTTCCATTAATGCAGAGGAACCCATTGGGCTGTCAGGATAGTAAGTCTTGTATTTTTTAGCTTTAAAGAATTTTTAAATATGCTTACTATAATACTGAAGTCATATATACTCAAATAGAATTACAATATTACTACCTGACATTGGTATATTTATTTGTTTTCCTCAATTGAGGGCAAATTCCTCATTCTATTTCTCCAGCTTCTGTAAGAGGAGACAATTAATAGGTGCATTAATAGACATATGTTGGTTGCACTTTAAAAAATTTTTTGCACTTAGCGGAATTTGGGGGAAAAAAATTGCTGACAAAAGCCTTAGCAATCATCCAATTAAGAATCTTTCAAACATGCATGCATTATATATGTAGCATCCCAGTAATCACGTGTATGTGTTGAGCAATACTGAAAAATACAAAAATACTTAACCGTATTTTATATGTTCTGATATTTTTCTGTTCTACTCTAACAGTAGTTAACTCTGTTATACCTGGATATAAATGGATATGATATAATACTTGTCTCATAAATAGTCTTAGGATTAGCATATGACTTAAATACTTGCTTAGAACACAGCCAGGTAAACAGATGGCTAAGCACAGTATTCCAAGCTTGGTGGTGGTGGTGGTTAATATTGATGATGATGATGACAATGACAAACGTACTGTCTGCAGAGAAGGTAGAGCTGTTTTGAGAATAGTGACAGAGATCAAAGATCCCGAAATGTTCTCACTATTTCTAAGTCTTTTATTCCGGAAAAGACTAGAATATTTATGCCACTTATCAGTTTTGCCATCTCAATGAATTCAGGTGCAACGATTATGTCTTCTATTTCCTCTTTTAGTAAATTCTAATGTACTTATGCATTCAACTAATATTTATTTAGCACTTTTGTCATCCATCAAACATACAACATTTATGACACAGTGCCTGTCCCAAAGAAACTCAATCTACTGGGGAGAAACACACAAAAGCAAGTAATTAAAGAACAAGGTAGCAAGAGTAACCATGGAAGAAAGCAGCATAAGAGGAAGGTTAAGATCTCTGGCAGGTAACATCTGATCTGAGTATTAAAGGAAATTGGGTATTATCAAGAAGAATGAGGATTCCAGCAGGAAATGAAAGTCACCAAAAGACTCATGGCTTATAATATGTGCAGGGATGACAACTCGTTCAATACTGGCAAAAAGTCAAGGAATTACAAGGGACAGGCAGGAAGGAGACAGAAGATCTGTAGGTCACTCCCTTGGATTTAAATACTTTTTATGTAATAATGATTCCTAAATCTTCATCTCCACCCCATATTTATCTCCTGAGTTCCAGACATGCAAATTTATCTACCTTCTGAAATTCTTACAGTTCTCCCAGGAAATGCAAAATACATATCCCATGTTGAACCTATCATCATCATCACCAATTCTGCTTCTCCAGTAAATGGCATCATTGTCTACCCATTATCATGAGCCAATGTGACTATATCGTTGAATATTCATTTTTGTGTGTTGTTTCTATAGCAAAATGCAAATCCTTGATGGGGGAGATGAAACCATACTGAGAGTCCAAAAAGATCTGTAAGGTACCAGACTACCATAGTTTGGAACACAGTGTTTTGAGAGACAGGACATATCCATGTCCACATAACAAGGGCTACCCACTACCCCTGAATAATTTTTCATATAATCAGAACTGAAAGGTTAATTTGACTGCATACATCCAGGAGAAGGTGCCCTACTCACGCAGCAGAAGTATTGATCAATGCAGACAGGATAATCTGTGTGGGTCCTTTCTGACTTAATAGCTTTTAGTTTCCCAGCCCAGAAAGAGGGAGAACAGTGCTTACACAGTCAAGAATACCTATCTGTTGAGCAACTGACCCTAGATTGGATCAGAAGGGGCCCCCCAAGTGGTTCTAGAAAGTACTCTTTCCCTCCAAAATACTGTCTCTACCTCTACAGAAGGCAGATTCCTGAGAAGGGACACTTAGTACTTTATTTTGTTTATGGTGTTGATTCTAATAGAAGGTATTAGCACATTATTTTAATTTTGTATAATATAAGAATCATCCTAAATTTCATATGTGGAAATCCTGGGTCCCACTTCCCATTAATTCACTCAAAGAAAGGTAATGAGTATGAAGATTGCAAAGGTTGCAACAGTGATCTTGTTATCTAATTACAAACAAATGTAGCCAATTTTGATCACTGAATAGAATACATAAATAGCCAGGTGGAATAAGATAGAGAATTCATGCCGCTTTTTAAAGTTCAGTGTAAAACAACTATGATCTCCACTTATATGCTTCCCAAATTGAAACTGACAAGTTGAGAAGGGACAGAGTTGAGGACACACATCCACAAGCCAATTATCGAGAGAAAGTATTCGTGAACGCTTAGCAGACAAGCATGGAAGAGAGAACCTAGAAGTTATAGACACCTAGAACTCTGAATACGAAAATGAGTGGGAAATGCCTGTCATGGTCCATGAGAAGCTAGTGTTAGTAAACCTAGCAGGTCCTTAGGAGTCTGGTGGTGCAGTGGTTAAAAGCTCTGCTAACTGAAAGGTCGGTGGTTTGAACCCATCTAGCACTGCGGTGTTAAAGCCTTGTGACCTGCTTCTGTAAAGATTACAACTAAGAAAATCCTATGGAGCAGTTCTACTCTAACACATGGAGGTGCCATGAATCCTAATCAACTCAGAGGCAACAGGTTTTGTTTTGTTTTTGGTTAGCAGGTTAATGTGTTTTTACTTTCATTTAAATTTTTCCAAAGTGTTTTCCTTATTCTTTCGTGAATTCATTTATCAAAAAAATAGCAATGGAGCATCTGCTATATACTAAGTACTCTTCTAGGTACTGGGTATACGAGAGTGGATACGAGTAGAAGCAGCCTGAAAATAGCTTTCAGTCTTTGTATTTTAAAAGGCCCAGCATATGAACTGCACTATTTTAAGTGCCCAGATGCCGAGAAAAACAAGATGTAAAACGCTCGGAAATACAGCCTGTTTGCTATAGTTAAAGAAAAAAAAAAAAAGTGCCAGTAGAAGAATATACGGAAACAGTCCCTTTCCAAAGAGTATGTGGGTGGCTCTGAAAAGAGCCTTTGGGGACATGAACTTGAGAATCTTGAGACTTAGGCCCTCTCCCCGCGGATGCGACGGGCCAGCTGGATGTCCTTGGGCATGATAGTGACACGCTTGGCGTGGATAGCACACAGATTCGTGTCCTCAAAGAGCCCCACAAGATAGGCCTCGCACGCCTCCTGCAGCGCCATCACGGCCGAGCTTTGGAAGCGCAGGTCAGTCTTGAAGTCCTGCGCGATCTCGCGCACGAGCCGCTGGAACGGCAGCTTGCGGATCAGCAGCTCGGTCGACTTCTGGTAACGCCGAATCTCGCGCAGCGCCACGGTGCCGGGCCGGTAGCGGTGCGGCTTCTTCACTCCGCCAGTGGCTGGCGCGCTCTTGCGGGCCGCTTTGGTGGCCAGCTGCTTGCGCGGCGCCTTGCCGCCGGTGGACTTGCGAGCTGTCTGCTTGGTTCGAGCCATGGCTCGGTCGCTTGACCAGTGTAAGGAAAAAGTGAAGACCAGCAGTAAATCCACCTATTTATAGTGAGAGTAAGAACATGATTGGATAAAAGGAGGCCAAGACTACCCTTCCCGTAACCTGATTGGTTATGAACTCGGAGCTTTTATTTGCCCCGCTCCAAATCCTAGGGTATTTTTTGTCCATAGCCTGAATTTTTTACTTTTTCCTATAAAAACATGTTCTCTCTACACCAGCGCTTTCAAATAGAAATAAATGCGAGCTACATAAAGTTTAAATTTTGTAGTAGTCACATTAAAAACTACTATAAAACCAGGTGAAATTAATTTTAACAGTATTTTGTTTAACCTAACAGCAAAATATTACCGTCTCAACATGTAATCAATAGATATTTCCCATTCCTGGATTTGTTTTGTTTGCTCGTTTGTTTTAGCACTGTCTGAACTAGTGTATATTTTACATACACACACATCTTTATTCGTACTAGCCACATTTCAAGTAATCAGTCATAATTGGCAAGTGGCTATGGTATTGGATAGCACAGCTCTATATCTTCACTTTCATTTATCCTACCAACACAACTTTAAGAACTTTTTTTTTTTTCAGCAGGAAAAGAAACTTGATTTGGGATGTGAGGAATTCAAGAACTAATAACTTCATGGAGAAACGCATCCTTAAACCTGTTTTCGCTTTCAAATAATATAAAAACAATTCCATTACAGCATAATTTTCCTACTATCTTAGAAATGTACTGCCTTTACTCTTCAAGTGTCTAGTATTCCATCAATGCATCAAAATCTAATGTTTTGAGTGAGATTAAACAGAATAGAAGTTAACATGTTTTATCCTGAGACAAATAGGTAATCACAACTTTATTTGTGAACAAGATAAAGGGAACTCGGAAAAAATACTTGAGAAACCACATTTAAGCAAAGCCCGAAGACAGGTGTTACATTCTATCCTGTTTTTTGGTTTTTTTTTTCCGGTAAAACTTTATTTACAAATTTAGACATTAGGCCAGATTTAGCCCACGAGCTGTAACTTACCGACTCCTGCCACTGATGAGACTTAGATGACCTGGCTGACCTGGGAGCTGTGGCCCAGTCGGCTCCTCACCACCACCACCCGTTGCCATTTAGTCGATTCCGACTCATAGAGATCCTATAGGACAGAGTAGAACTGCCCCATAGGGTTTCCAAGGAGCGGCTGGTGGATTCAAACTGACGACCTTTTGATGAGCAGCAGAGCTCTCAAACACTGCCCCACCAGAGCTCGGCTCCTCGGTGAGATGGAAACCACTCTAGGGTAGGTGCAGTACTGAGGGTGGTTGCTGAGGGCAAAACTAAACCATATAACCAAATCCGTTGCCATGGAGTCGATTGCGACTCATAGCGACCCTATAGGACAGACTAGAACTATCCCATAGGGTTTCCAAGGCTGCAATCTTTACGGAAGCAGACTGCCACATTTATCTCCGCGGAGCGGCTGGTGAGTTTGAACTGACGACCTTTGGGTGGCAGCAGAGCGCTTAAACGACTGTGCCACCCGGGCTCAGAATAGGGCCCCGTATTTGGGAGTTTCCTACCAACTGGTGGGTGCAGAGGCCAGTGTGAGGGCAGCGCTGCAACAAGCTCAGCCTTCCTCACAAGAGGCACCAACTACTTTATTGCTTATCAGGCCCAACCCTCTTAAGCTCACACACACATGGTCTCTCGACGCGCATTGTCATTACTGGGCCCCCTTTGTTCTACAGGGTCTCGATGAGTCAGAATCGACTCGACAGCAAGTTTTCTTTCTTTCTTTCTTTTTTTTTTTTTTGAGTGGAGGAACCCTTGTGCTGTGGCCTGACCATCAGCCTGTCCCTGGTGATAGCCTAGTTATAGCTCTTCGCCGATTCCGAAGCTTCTTCCATCCGCGCCTCCAGGTTCTCTCGGGTGATGAAGTTTTTCGCCTCCTCCTGCAGCTGCCTCCCACTTCCTGGTCCTTGAGCTGCACCCAGGCCTAAGCCTCTCGGGCCTTGCAGGCCTGTTCCTCAGCCCGCACCTCCTGCTGCAGTTTCGCTATTTGCAGCTCGGGCAGCCGCTGGTTTTCCGCACGGTTCTAGGTCATCAGCTCGGTGCTGGCGGTCTCCTGGGCTTTGAGCTAGGCCTGGACCTCGGCTCCGGCTTTGGGTATCTTCTTCCGCACCTCGGCCACAAACTCCAGCCTGAGGGTGCACACGGTCTGGCGGTACTCGTGGTAACGCTCGATCAGCACCGAGAACTCCGCTGGATCCACCCTGGGCGGGGTCGCCACTCGCCGGACCTTGGATTTGGCCGGCGGGGCGTTGCGGGGGAATTGCGACTGCTCACTGGGAGCAACAGCAGGACCCGGAACCGCGCGCGGCTTGACCCAAATAAAAGGCTGTCTTGATTTTAGATACACCTGGGATCTGACCCCTCCGTTAACTTCTTATCCAATTAACAGGCCGATTAATTAAAAATGCTCTCCTAAATCAGTAGTGCGAAAAAACGATAGGTTTACGTTGATATGGGATTAGAAATTATGAGTTGCTCCAAAGTCTTTAGGTTATGATAGATGTTTGGGTTGATCCCTACATCCTTCAGGACCTGCTCATTTTACGCTTTGATGACTAAAACTCAGAAAACAAAGGCGTCTTAAAACTAGACTCTGCTACGTTTGCCCCTAAACCAAGTAGATTCACCACCAGAACTTCACTTTTTAGAAGCTCAGGTGTCTTTTGTTTAAGCCAATAGCCAAGAGTTAATTTTAGTAAAGCTGTCTCTTTATAACCTCATAAATTACCCAATGCTGATGCAAAGAAACTGGCGACTGGATCACTTCATGTATCAATTAAAATACATGGATGCAGGTAGCATCTAGGTAGAAGAGTCGACCAGGTGAATTATCTGCCTAAACCAAGCTATCTGATCCTAATCTAACGGATTATAACCGGTTACTGCAAGTGGCCTTTTCAAAAACTTTTTACACTTAAGTATTCAGCTCTTCTCAGGAAATCATAAGCGGCTCTGAAAAGAGCCTTTGGTTTGCATGGGAGATTTCAGTTACCGAAAATCAATGGCGACTTCTACTTGCCCTTGGCCTTATGGTGGCTCTCAGTCTTCTTGGGCAAAAGAACAGCCTGGATGTTGGGCAGGACTCCACCTTGCGCGATGGTCACTTTGCCCAGCAGCTTGTTGAGCTCCTCATCATTGCGGATGGCCAGCTGCAGGTGGCGCGGGATGATGCGCGTCTTCTTGTTGTCGCGGGCCGCGTTACCAGCCAGCTCCAGGATCTCGGCCGTCAGGTACTCCAGCACCGCCGCCAGGTACACCGGCGCGCCGGCTCCAACCCGCTCGGCGTAGTTCCCCTTGCGAAGCAGACGGTGGACACGACCCACGGGGAACTGGAGCCCAGCGCGGGAAGAGCGAGTCTTAGCCTTGGCGCGAGCCTTGCCGCCCTGCTTGCCACGTCCAGACATGATTTAAGTGTCAGCCTCTGTCAGGAATGACTATGACCTGAAGTGCCAAAAGGGCTCTTTATAGCCACGTCTGGGCGCGAAAAGAACGCCGTGCCATTGGTCAATATGTAATTTTCATTTAGACCAATAGAAACGCGACTTTACATAAAGCGTAATTTCATTGGGCAAAACTGGCATATAACGTCATGTAAAGGAATCACCAATAACCAGAGGACTTTACTCCTCCTTATATGCATTAAATTCTATAAATAAATGAACTTTCTTCTCTTTATTTCTGCCATTTTTTCCCTTACTTTCCACTATGCCTGAACCATCCAAGTCCGCTCCAGCCCCGAAGAAGGGCTCCAAGAAGGCGGTGACTAAGGTGCAGAAGAAGGACGGCAAGAAGCGCAAGCGCAGCCGCAAGGAGAGCTACTCTGTATACGTGTACAAGGTGCTGAAGCAGGTCCACCCCGACACTGGCATCTCGTCCAAGGCCATGGGCATCATGAACTCGTTCGTCAACGACATTTTTGAGCGCATCGTGGGTGAGGCGTCTCGCCTGGCGCATTACAACAAGCGCTCGACCATCACTTCCAGGGAGATCCAGACGGCCGTGCGCCTGCTTCTGCCCGGGGAGCTGGCCAAGCACGCAGTGTCCGAGGGCACCAAGGCCGTCACCAAGTACACTAGCTCCAAGTAAGTGCCTTTGTAGGCACTGTCAAACCCAAAAGGCTCTTTTCAGAGCCACTCCACTTACCAAGAAATTGCTGTTGCGCTTTGGCTGCCATGCAGATTGAGCGTGAGGGCGTTTTGGGAGGACTGTAAATGGTACTTCAAATCTTACAGGACAGAACTTATACATCAACCGCTGTACTGTAAAACTAGACTTGTAACATTTATGCCGAGGCAGACAATAGTTTTCCAGCTCTTTATAAGAAGATGTGGGTGGCTCTGAAAAGAGCCTTTCGTAAGTGGTAAAACAAAGCTGCTAGATACAGTATCTCAACCGCCGAATCCGTAGAGGGTGCGCCCCTGGCGCTTGAGCGCGTAGACCACGTCCATGGCCGTTACCGTCTTACGCTTGGCGTGCTCGGTGTAGGTGACGGCATCGCGGATTACGTTCTCCAGAAAGACCTTGAGCACCCCGCGAGTCTCCTCGTAGATGAGACCGGAGATGCGCTTGACACCGCCACGCCGAGCTAGACGCCGGATGGCGGGCTTGGTGATTCCCTGGATGTTGTCACGCAAGACCTTGCGGTGCCGTTTGGCGCCGCCTTTGCCCAAACCTTTCCCGCCCTTGCCTCGTCCAGACATAGTAGATAAAACACAAACGTAAGGTTCAAACCTACGGTTAAGTCGAAAGACAAGTGTGTTTAAGAAAAATGGCTGTACTTTTATTTGAATCAATCGGACCAAACTGAAAACTGTAAGGAACACAGGCGGGAAAGCTTAGCCGTTCTAACTCCGCCCCCGTCCTCTGTTCAAACAAACATGGAGGAAGAGATACCTGCCGGAGCTGCTCCGGAGGCGCTGAGGGTAAAAGGCCAGGTAGGTTGTGCGGTGACTGCTCCGGAGAGAAGAAAGGGTGCTGGCTTAGGGATATGAATGCTTTAGGCAAGGAACTGAGATTGATCAATGAAAATGCGTCTCCGCTTGGTATTTAGCAAACTTTGAAAGTAGTCACGGTTGTGTAATGAAGCTCACAGCCCAGGTTAGATTAGGATGGACTGGCTTCTGGCCCCAGCTCCACCCCTTGCTATGTGACCATAGATAACTTAACCGGTCTGGGTATTTATCTGTAGAATAAACATACTGTTAGCAAACACATGCCGCGTCATCGCCATTTCTCAAATGAGGAAAAACAACAGCGGTAACTTACCCTAGGTCACACAGCAAGAATGGAACTTAAACAGACAAAAAACTCCAGTATCCTTGCTCTTACCATTAGGATCTACTGTCTAGGTGATAATACCCACCTCACAGGCTTCTTGTGCAAACGACAAGAAAGTGCAAACAAAGCACTGAAGCAGGCCTTTGCTTGTATCAGTCACCCTTGCATGATAACTATTAATTCATTTATTCAAGACTTATTGTGTCTTTACCATGTTCCTAGCGCTGTGCTAGATTATTAGTCCAACTAGGCCACTTCTTGGATCTGTACGTTCCAGCAAGTTACATACCTATGCATAAATAAACATTATAAAGACTCTACCCTCAAATATTGGTAAAATATACATTTTAATAAATGCTTCAGTAAAGATGAATACGTGTATATTAACTAAGAACAAACAACTTGATAGCAGTTTTTAACATTCACACAAAACTATTGGACTGGAAAGAATGACTCATTAGCAACACATCAGATCATATTCTTTGATGATTTATGAAGTCTTCAGGGCTGAGGGACTACTTCCTTAGTTTTTTGAGAATCATCTTATTCATTATAGACTTTCATTTTTAAGGCTGTTGTAGAGAGAAACTGAGGACCAAGTTGACAGATTCCTCTTGAGTGCATAAGAAAATCCAGAGCTCACTGATCATTATAGAATGTACCCAAGAACAGATAAATACCTTATGTTCTCAGAAATATAGACGACACAGTGGAGGCACAGTGACCATTAATATCCCGCAAATCCCCTCCTGTGATAAAATGTCTGTTAACCATAAACTGAATCAAATTTACCTTGTGCAAAGAATCTAAGACAGACACCATGCCAAAGTCAACCAATGATTATCTTCCACTCTATATTTCCTCCTTAGAAAAAAACCCACTGTAACCAGCCTAAGACAAGCCTTCTTATTTTTCTGAACAGAAAGGTCTTCCTACATGCATACAGATTAATCGCTAGAGTAAACCCTATATGCTTTCATCCCTGAAGAGCTCTGGTGGCACAGTGTTTAAAGCTCTTTCCTGGTACCAAGTTGTGGGTAGTTCGAACCCACCAGCTGCTCCTCAGGAGAAAGATGTGGCAGTCTGCTTCTGTAAAGATTACAGCTTTGGAAACCCTATGGGGGCAGTTCTACTGTGTCCGATAGGGTTGTTATGAGTCAGAATCAACTCAGTGGCAGTGGATTTTTGTTGTTGTTTTTCTTTTCTTTGGTTTTCTTTTTTTTTTTTTTGCTTTCATTCCTTTTGTACTTCGATTATTTTGACAAGGCTAAACTCTGAAATGTATTAGTCAACATAAGAAAGAGCAGGCCTGAGTTCACATTTTACATGAAGAAATAGAAAAAAGGCTGAAAAGTGTTTTATTTAATGACAGGAGAATAGGAGACATGCAGCATCCTTCAGTGAAGTCCCTGGGTGGTGGAAACAATTTGTGCTTGACTACTAACCTAAAGGCTGGTATTTCAAACCTACCCAGCAGCACTGCTGAAAGGCCTGGTGATCTACTTCCATACAGATTCAGTTCTGCTCTAAGACATGGAGTCGCCATGATCAGAATCAACTCAAAGACAACAGATTTAGTTTTGGTTTTTTTGTTTTAGCATCTGATATGGATTGAATTGTGTCCCCCAAAAGTGTGTGTCAATTTGGCTAGACCATGATTCCCAGTATTGTATGGTTGTCCTCTATTTTGTGATCTGATATAATTTTCTTATGTGTTGTAAATCCTAACCTCTGTGATGTTAATAAGGCAGGATTAGAGGCCATTATGTTAATGAAGCAGGACTCAATCTACAGGATTAGGTTGTATGGTGAGTCAGTCTCTTTCGAGATATAAAAGAGACAAGCAAGCAGAGAGAAGAGGGACCTCATTAACACCAAGAATGAAGAACAAGGAGAGGAGTGCATCCTTTGGACCTGGTGTCCCTGCACTAAGAAGCTCCTAGACCAGGGGAAGATTGATGACAAGGACCTTCCCCCAGAGCCAACAGAGAGAGAAAGACTTCCCCTAGAGCTGGAGCCCTGAATTCGGATTTCTAGTCTCCTAATCTGTGAGAGAATAAATTTCTGTTTGTTAAAGCCATCCACTTGTGGTATTTCTGTTACAGCAGCACTAGATAACTAAGACAGCATCCTTCAATAGTGCTTTATCTTCAACACTCCAGGGGATCCTTCTCTCGAATGTACAGATTGTCTTAATGTCAACAATAAGGGCATTCTTTGTTTTTTGTTATTTTCATATGATTAGTGTAGGCACATTGGTTTCTTTCACTTTAACTTCACGTTCTCCTGTTTGAACCTACTTTTCAGTCTCTCTCAGAACATGTTTACAAGATATGAGCTATAACAAAGGCCTGAATAATCCATAGCGTTTAAAGCTGGAAAACAGCCAGTCCTGCAACCCTGACATTCTCCCAGCCTGTCTTCCTTTGCAATGTTTCTGTGGTTATAAACTGGATGTAGTAATGGAATCCTTTGAGCAGGGACTTTATTAGGATGCTTGCATCTGAGGAACATGTTCATGGTAACAAAACTCAAGAAATCGTTGTCAAACTAGAATTCACTGTATTAAACATATTGGGAGATGTGCCTAGCCTGAGAACTGATCACAAATAACCACTTCCAGCTGCCATGAAGTAGACTCATTCATGGTGACCTCATGTGTGTCACAGTAGAACTGTGTTCATAGGGTTTTCGATGGCTGATTTTTCCAAAGTAGATCACCAGGCCTTTCTTGCAAGGTGCCTCTGGGTAGGCTAGAACCTCCAACCTTTCTGTTAGCAGCTGAGTGCATTAACTGTTTGTATCACCCAGGAGCTTCAATCACAAACTATTGATCAGAAATTGCTTTAGTGAACAAAGAATCAAAATAAATGAAGTACCCTGATTCCTAAGGAATATTTCCATAAATCCGTGATAGCATTTTAACTTGTCTCTCTTTACTCTTTGTATAACCATGCCTTAAACAATCATACTGCCCATCTAGCATGAATTTATTCTCTTTTGCTGTATGGTGTTGGTGATACAGCTCACTGACAATCTTCATGCTTCAGTTTTCCTTTGTCTAGATTCCAAGCATATCAACTGCGCTCCCATGCACATATCTGTCATTAAATTGTTGGAATTTCACTTTATTTTATATTGCTGTGCATTGGAGTAGAGAAATACTTATCTGCAACATAAGTACTTATCTCTTGGTGGAAGTGCTTTGAAATAACCTCATCCATTTTATTTCTACTCATATTATAACCAGTGCTATTTTTGTATGCTTTCTTCAAATTCTGGGAAAGAAACCAGTTTGAAGTTTACAAAACTGATTCCCCCATGACAGCCCTCAAAAATGCACTTGTATATTGGAGAAGCTAACTCTCAAATGTGTTGATCCCGTATGTTAATTAATATCTGTATGGCAAAAAGACTACAGACTCAGAATATAAAAACATGGCTTTGCCATTTATAAGAACTGTGATGCAGGATGAAAGGAAAAAAGACAAGAAGAACTGGAGGCTTAACCAAGCAGATGAGTCCAACCTCTCATTCAGTGGGCCAAAGATCTTCCTGTCCCTCTTTATTCAATGAAGATAAGAGTTAGAACTTTCAGGTATTGGGACCCTGGTTCTTTGGCACACCCACACACACATACAAAACCTGATGTTGCACAGGTGTGACTCACTACCACAAAGAGAAAAATACCATTTAGGCCATTGTGCAGTCAAAGATAAGTCAGTGAAATGTGTTATACCCAGTTTCCTTATCTGAAATATTGGGGGTAGTTGTTTGAATTGAATAAGACAAGCATACATATTGGGGGAATAATTTTTAGAACCATGCATCAAGGGAAGAATATAGAAATGATTGCAAATGCCAGTTATAAGTCAGGGAAATCATTGTAGAGGCAGTAATTTTACCTCTATGTGACCTAATCAGCCAGCTTAAAGGAGATTGAATATCTATTATATGCCAGGATTTATAGTATTATTTATTCATATTGTACCATTCCACCATTAATGATACACAGTGAAAAAAAGATCTGCTGAAGTTTCTGTTCTTGTGTTACTTTCAGGTGGGAAGCGAGCCAGACAATAAAAAATAAATTATTAAAATATGTACTATGTCAGTTCTTGTTAAGTTCCTTGGATAAAAATAAAGCAGAGAAGGGAGTAGGGAGTTGGGGATTGCAATTTTAATAAGGTAGACAAGGCCTCACGGAGGTGCCATTGGCATTTGTTATTAGGTGCCATCAAGTCGATTTTGACTCATAGTGACCTCACGTGACAGACTAGAACTGGTCTACAGGGTTTTCTAGGCTGTAATCTTTATGGAAGCAGATCGCCAGGTCTTTCTCTCATGGAGCAAGTGGCTGGGTTCAAACCACCAACCTTTCGGTTAGCAGAGAGTTCTTAACTGTTGCACCACCAGGGCTCCTTTGGCATAAGACCTAAAAATGGTGAGAGAATGTTGCTGTCTGGGGGAAGCTACTCCAGGCAAAGCGAACGAGTGCAAAGTACCAGTGCAGTTGCCTGCTTAAGAACATGCTAACTATCTACTTAATACTTCTTCAGATTTTGTCCTGCTCTCGCAGACCACAGGGCCAACAATTTTCTAAATAAATATCTTTGAAGATATACAACAACAACAAAAAATCCTTAAATAGGCACCCCCTAAAACAAACAAACAAACCTGTTGCTGTCAAGTTGAATACAACTCATAGCAACCCCATAGGACACAGTAGAACTCCCTATATGGTTCCCAAGGAGCAGCTGGTAGATTCGAACTGCAGACCTTTTGGTTAGCAGCTGTAGCTCTTAACCACTGCACCACCAGGTCTCCAAACAGGCCTGTAAGAAGACATGAATATAAAGCATTATTTATGATGGTAAAAAAAATTAGACACAGTCCTATTGTGCAATACTGAAGGAGTTGGATAGGTAAAAACTCCTGTTTTTAGAGTTGTGCCAGCTCTTGTTACTGTATAACAAACTACCTCAAAAGTTAGTGGCATAAAACAAACTTTCTTATGTTCATGGAGTCTGTGGGTCAGGAAGTAGGACAAAGCACAGCGAGGATGGCTTGTCTCTGCTCCAAAAATGTCTGGGGCCTCACCTGGAAGGACTCACTAGCTTAGAGTGATTCTTGGTGTGGCGGCCAAGGGCATCTTTACTCACATGTCTGGTAACTGATCCTGGCTGTCAGCTGAGACTTCAGCCTGGGCTCTCAGCCAGAGTACCTGTATGTGGTCTGGGCTTCCTAACAGCATGGGGGCCTTGAGTGGTCTGACTTCTCATCTGGTGGCTCAGGATTCCAAAGACAAGTCTCCTAGGACACCTAGGTGGAAGCTATGACTTCTTATCTCAGAATAAAAGTCAAAATCCTACATGACATTGCCAATTATATGTGAGAGGATAATTCAGTGGGAGGGTACAAACAAGGATGGGAGCAGGGATTTAGCTGTTAGAAGAGGTTCCTGAAAACCCAGATGGATCACTCAAGGTCGCTTTACAAAAGTCATGCAGGCCTCAGGATAATTCATTGTGCAGAACTGTCCTGAGCATTGCAGGACTTCCAGCATCACTAGTCCCTAGTCTCTAGTCTAGCTAGTTGTGTCCCTAGTCATTGTGACAACCAAAACACCCACACGTTTTCAAAACGCCCCTCTAGGGGGCGGTAAAGTTTTATTGAAAGCCACTGCTTTAAAACTTACTAGCTAAGGTCTAATGACTCAGGGATAAATGTTTGTCATAAGAGAAGCTTGTCAAACATATCTGTGCGGTGGCCCCATGGTGTAATGGTTAGCACTCTGGACTTTGAATCCAGCGATCCGAGTTCAAATCTCGGTGGGACCTTACCAGCTTTTTTCATTTCTCCCAGAAATATCCACCATACATCCTCATGAACAGTAAAAGCTTTTATTATTCCTCATGAACAATAAAAGCTTTGTCATTTTGC